AATTTTCCAATGTCACTTATGTATAATCAATAATTTCTTTGCTAAACACATGGCTTCTGTGACTCACGAATTAAGAATATGTTTCTTAGAGAAAAGAAATATGCTGTGGATTAAAGACATATATTCAGTTTCCACACATTTATGAGCATTTTTTTGAACATCCACTAGATGAAGACATAACACATTGAACATAAAAAGAAAAAATGGACACGTTTTGCCCCCTATGAGGCAAATGTGGAGAGGTAATATATTTACCCAATATGAACCAATGATATTCACTAAACAATAAATAATAAATCCTCTCAGAAGGAACAGTAAGTCAACAAATGAAAAATCCTCTCCTAGGATGGCAGGCTAAAGAAGTATTTGCTTTCAGGCTAGATCATGAAATTCTAGAAAGGAATTATTTAACTGAAATTAATATGCCCTTGATGTGCTGTTAAACAAAATAGTTAAGAAAGCTAGAGTAATCTAATAATCTGGTTTAATATTTAGGATTCATAAGAATGAGTAAATAAGGTAATGTGAAAATATAAGAATTAATTCCACAAATGCAGGGGTTAAAAAAGAAGAGACCCCGTTAATGAGAATCATTGCCTTTCTGAGTATAGATCCTTAAAAATGTCTTTTAAAATACCTCTGATTTAGCAAAGTGGGTGGAAAACTCCTGGTAACTTCAGTTTCTTATGTTCACTATTGTTCTTGCATGAGAAAAGAATAGCTAATTTCTGATCCCAATGCTCTTTTATGATCTTTCAGAGATAAGGTGTTTTTAAGATATAATCCACAAAGGAAGACCTGGGGAAGTATATATTGATCCCAGAAAAGCATAACCTTAAGGAAAATATTTTAGCAGGAAACTTCACAAACTTCACTATATTATAGCATGGTTTGATATCATTAGCCCATACTGATAAACATTCCACTTTAAACCAAAGCGGAAAATATAGATTACACTTCAAGTAAAAAATTATTTCACCAAATTAATAAGGGAAACCTAGGCCTAAGTTACACAGCAATCAGGATATGCTAAAAAAAGGAAGTGGTGAGCCAAGTAAAGTTGGAAAGCAAATGTATTCTTGGTCTAAAATCCTTTTCGAAATGTAACTGCACCAAGTTGACAGAAAATAAGTTTGTTTTGATTCCAGGGGTCTTGACTGTGCAATTAATAGTTTGCACTCTGAATTTAAAATGGTTGGAAGCAATATGGTGAAGATGACACACATCTGGACCCAGAGCCCACATGCACCATCTACAGGTTCCCAGCCTTGTGACCTTGGGCAAGTCCCTTCAACCCTCTATGTCTTGCCCTGACAACGTATGTACTGGAGTGTCCTCCATCCTGCCTGCTGCCTCCTGCTGTCCACCATGCTGCTCTCAGCATTCTGACAGGTGAACAACCCCAAGCTGCTGGCTGACTGTGGTAGGGTGAGTTTGGAAGATGGGTGGTCACACCGGAGAGCTCTGGAGGGAAAACCATGCTGGATGAGGTCTTTGAGGGTCTTTAGAAAAGATAGCTCATGCATTTCCAGAGTCATAAATTGTCACACGTAGCCAGTGATCTCATTTTAGTGATATTTGTTGTTGAAAGAAGTATGGTGACAACTTGTCTTAAAATCATTTCATGACGTTGTGGTAAATAATGTCAGCTCAGCCCCGAGCACAGGCATCTCACGCTGCCTTTAAAGGTGAACAAACCAACAAAAAAGAAACTTCTTGATCCTCCTCCAACCAAAAGAGGTGGAAGTGCAAAATCATCATATCTATTTGAAAATACAGAGTATACCTCCATTTTTGTCGTGAAATACAGTGCTGTGTTTGCAAGATTATTTTTATTTTGTATGTACCCTGTAGGGCTCAACATTTTAATTGCCACTTCCTCAATAAAGTTATTGGAAATCTTCCATCCTGCCATTAGCGCTTGCAAAATAACTGTTATCAATAGGTTATCCAGACACAGAAACTTTATAATTAATGTTGGAATAGTCTTCAAAGCCTAGTGACTAAAATATATCCTATAAAAATTATTGGACTTCATTCAATGCTGTTCTGCTGTTTTAAAGTTCAATAAATGTGTTGAGGGGGAGATATTTGGCAACCTAAGTTGGGCAGTCTGGCAGTGAGACCTGAGACGCTGGAGGGTTTGATTTTTGTTTTGTGGTAAATGCACCAAAGGCCTCCAGTTTCAGTGCAACCCCTGAAAGGCTGAAGGAGGTCTGACCAAATGCAACCCCCAGTGGGAATCTGAACAGTCATCTGGGGCTGTATTCCCACCTTGACAGTTGATGAGGCTCTGGGACAGGTTCCATTTAAGCAATAAAACACAACAGGCCATGAATATATATCTGGGTGATTATAGCATAACTCAGACTGTGTTATAAGTCATGAGGCTGAAGGCCAAGTGTCTTAACTCCATGAGAAGTGCAATATTGGCCCTGAAACACACTGCCTGAAGTGTCTTACTGCTGTCAAGAAATGGAATTTCTATAGTACATTAAGAAAAGGAAAACACTTAGCACAGTGGATTTAAAATAACCATGGCTATGACATCACTGACAGCTAATCAAAACTCTAATTGCAACCAGAGTTCTGAGGCTATTGTATGAAAGGTCTTAACAGACCCAGTCATGGATACCAGGAAGAACAATACCGATGCCATGAGCAAAAACTTCAGTAGCACAGGACCTGAAGCAAGAATGGGGTAGGCTGGCAGATTTCAGACAATCTCATTAGCAGTGAGTTGGTAACATTGCAGTGAACTCACCTTGAGCAAGTTAGCCAAGAAAAAGCAGTGCAAACACCCCTTGAATACTTTCTCCTTCAGTAGCAACCTTCATTTTCATACAATTAAATATTTCTTTAAATGATTAAAAGATAAGGCAGCATAAATGGGAAAAAACCATCCAGTTCACATGCTCTAGAAGAAATGAAAGATTATAATGAACTTAGAGGAGCTTGGGGGTCACACGTTACTCGTGATCTGTGCAAGGAATTTCCAGTGATATTAAGTTGAAGTTGCCCAAAAGGACTGGAGTCAGTACGTGGTCATAAGGACCCAGTTCAGATTTTACATCTGAATCTGTGTAGCACCACACAAGTGGAACGTGCCTTTCAAGGTCCAGGTAACAGCCTCAATTAATTTAGTCATGCCAAAGCACACACTGAGAAGTACATTCAGAAGGCATGTAGCAGGGAAGCATATAACATCATAAGTGACAGCAAAAAGAGGGCTTGTCTCAGGAGCCGGAGGATCTGAGCCTAATGATTTTCTGGGTCACCATGGATAAGTATTTAATTTTTGTGGGCTTTAGTTTACCTCCAGTGAGCTCTCTTGGACTCTGATTATAGATGTTGCTTCCTCAGCCTCAAAATGGAGCTACTCTGCCATTTCCTGAAAGTTTATTGACAATGCCATAAAAAGGTAGATTATAATTTAGAAAGGCTACCTTTCACACATCGTGGGACATACATGTACATTTGGAAATAAAAGTTACATACGAACTTTACATCAGTTTCAGCAAAGATAGCCTTAGAGATAAGCCATTACTAAGGATCTCCAATTAATGGTACTGGAACAAAAAATTATTCATGTTCTTGTGGGAAAAAACAAGGAGGAGTTTGTCCCATTAGAATCCATTCAAGTTCTGGAATGAACACACCACAAAAACATGTTTCTTTCTTCTCAATTTATTGAAAAATTTTACCTGTATCATATCCGTCAGCCATGATTATACTAATATACAGGTAATAATTGTACCCTACCTGTGACAAAATATTTTTAATAGTTTTATTTTTATATATTTCTAATAATCTTTATTTATATCAGCTTGGGTTCTTTTGGAACTATAAAAATGTTAAATGGGTAACAAAATGACTAAAATTGGATATAAGTAAAATTATTATTCCTTAAAAATATTAAACTCTTATTCTTAAGAAATAGATCAATTATTTTATCGTGTCAAAATTGTATATATCTGGATTTAAAAATTATGCTTTTTTTAGCCAATCCATTAAAAGGGTAAGAGTCCTGCTGGTTTTAATGGCATCTGAATGGTTTTAATATATATTTTGGTTTAACTTGAAATAAGCCACATTTCCAAATTCTTTTTTTTTTTTTCAGTACAATACTGATATTTATTTCAGATTCTTTAGGTCCAGGTGTATGGAATGTTGCTTAATAAGTGTTTATTGAATCAACCAGAAGAGCATATTTAAAGCAGCTGAGGATAACAGTCCTGAGGCACCATCTCCTGGGTCAGAGCCAAGATGATTACAACACTTCAGATACAGATATCACTACAAATAAAGACCTGTTACAAAGATCAGATTAGCCCTGCCCTGCCTTAAAGTAGGCAGTGTGGTCCGTCTTTGTCAGATTTTCCAGAATCTGATTTCCTGTGTCTACATTGGGAGAATGCAAGTTCAAGGAGGACTTTGGGCAGTCCCATGATGCCAATTCTTGCTTTTATCCATGGGCTGGGCACTTGATTGGTAGTTTGTGCCTTGTGCAATTGAGGGAAGAGAGGGGGAATTATAAATATTTGAACATTAGCTTTTCTCCTGGTCTGGACTGCAAGAGGCTCAGAACATCACAGTTGCAGGAGGTTAATTTTGCCACACAGTTACCAAGGAGCCCTAGGTGAGCTGGACACCTCACTTACCACAGCTCACTCATCTCATTGTAGAAAGAATATTGGGGGTGGTAGATAAAAAGAATTAAGAGGTTTAGTTTCTTGTTGGACTGTCACTATCTTGACTTGCAATTAGGGGGATATTACGTAATCTCTCTGCTTCTTTACTTCTATCCATGAGAAAAGAAGGACACTTTTTTTTTTTTTTTTTTTTTTTTTTTTTTTTGGTACGCGGGCCTCTCACTGCTGGGGCCTTCCCCCCCGGCCAGCGGCGAGTTATTTTTATTGTCATTTACTTACAGTTCCAGTTATCATATAATTAAGGGTTTACTTTTACCAAATATGTAGACTTTTTGGAATATCTGGACTCTAGAGCACACAGTACAGAGCTTTGTGAAATACGGTGCCTATGAGAAGCTTCCCCTGGTACACAGAAGCCACAGAGCTGCCCTGAAGCACTGAGCCATTGTTGGCATACTCAGTGCTTATCCTGGGCTCTTCTGAGACAGCATTCTGGATCCGAAGTACTTCTGACCCTGGAGGATCCTCAGTATTATACATCAGCAGCTTGATGGCATTAGGATGGCATCCTGCCAAAATATCTCCCGTGTCAGGATCAACAGTTAAGTTATCCACTAAGGTGCCCAACTGGATTACCTTGAGTTGAGTTAAATCCCAGTTGTCATGTTTTTTCATTACATGAATGTTCTTATCCAGTACATCAGCTACATAGATATACTTCTTGTCTGGTGAGATGGTGATCCCATTGGCAGAACTAAATCCTTTGGCCACCACTTTAACCTCTCTTGGACTGTAGAAAAATGGCTAATATGAATAATCACTGTCTACTTCTGAATTGCTGATTTCCCCCCCATATCTTGTTCTTTTCTTTTCTTTTTCTTTTTTTTAAGAGTTAAATCCCAGTTGTCATGTTTTTTCATTACATGAATGTTCTTATCCAGTACATCAGCTACATAGATATACTTCTTGTCTGGTGAGATGGTGATCCCATTGGCAGAACTAAATCCTTTGGCCACCACTTTAACCTCTCTTGGACTGTAGAAAAGAATGTAAGTCCAGCGAAGATCCATGACCATCTCTAATAGTACCAAGAAGAAGTTGGTAAAATAGTGGTCTCTGGTGGCATAGAACTGTTCTGCTCCAAGAACCACAATGTCATTCACACTTTTGAGAAGTTCGTGTTTTATAGTCTTCAGGTGTACCAGAGAACGTTGTTGTTCCTCAAATTTGAATATCTCCACAGTGGACTCCATGTGGGGATGATTCACAGCACCAAATTCTTTTTTAACTAATGATCCTGCAATAGACCTTTCATAGACTAGATCCTTCATAATTATAATACCTTTCTCTATGATAAGGCAAAGAACTAGAGTCCAATATATATACAGTTAATGACTTAGGATCTAAAATATTTCCACAACCTCAAAGCTAGTCACTGAATAGTTTAATAAAAAATATTCCAATAACACCACTATTCCTAGAGTGTTGTGTCCTGTAAAACTGAAGTATTATACAGAAATCCAAGCTCTAGGGTCTAATGACCAGCTAATAACACATTAGTCAGAGCCACTATGAAATGATATTCTCTTTCGTTGTACATCAACGCCATGAATAAGTGCAAAATTGCTGTTGAAGTACATGCTTCATACTTCCTGTAACAATCTAACATAGTTTCACCTCTGAACTGACCTGCCTAGGACATACTATGGGACCCACAATGGGGACAATTCCTAATTATTTGAACTAATGAATGGCCTGGATAAGTTAAGCCAGCAAATAAACCCAGTTCTCTTATTGTAGACATTGCTTGTAACATACTTGTTAGAACTGTTGCTGGGATGTTGACATATTTGGCTAAACGATCCAAAAAATACATATTCTGCTCTAACAAGCACCCCTCCTCAGAGGTTCCTGCTGTGCCGCGAGCGTGCACACACGTAAAGGGAAGCAAAGTGCAAAGTGCTGGGGTTGTTTCTTGGATTTTATTGGCTTAGCCCTGCCCAATTACCTCCAGTGCAAAATGAAGGTGAAAACTCCACTGGGCTGTGTATGCAGCATAGTCTAAACTACAAAGTGGAGCCACTTCTTACCCCTACTCCTAACCCATATTAGGCTCTTACCACCTCTAGCCAGTCATATGGGACAGAAATCAGAGCGATGACCAACAAGTGCAGGCATACTTTGAGGGGAGCAACAAGACAGCTTCAGGCTTTCTCACTGCACCAGCAGCGCCATGGAGGGGCACGGAAGAAAGCCCATGGGTGCACGAGCATGAATACAGTAACCCTGATCATCAGACCACCAGTCAATATTCCTGGACTCTAAACAGTCAGCTTAGCAACTCTTCCGACTTGGGGAAGGGTGAGGAAGAGGCTTGAGCAGAGAGGGCTTGGAAAGGCAGAAGATCTCTCCCTTCCCATGTTTCCTCTCTGCCCAACAATCCTTAAATTCTACAGGTTTAATTATTATAAACATACATTTGCTGGGAAATGGGAGAGAATTGTGGGATTCTTTCAAGTAATATAAGTCTGTTTGTCAGGGGTGTTTTCGAGGGAGTAGCTTCAGAAGAGAGAGCATGAGGAAGGAAGACGTTGTAGAGTGGGCAACAGAGAACGGGATTATCCGGCAGGCATTTTATTAGAGTCTATGGACTGTAAAACACCATATGGAGAAGCCTGCTGATGGCTCATTATTCACCAAAATCTCCTTCCCCCACCAACCAATAATCCTCCAGGTAGCAAAGGGACAGTGGAAATATGAATATACACCCCATGAAGGGGAGTGAGGGGGATGGGACAAGCCCTTGCCCCACAAACAGAGCCTGTCTGCTGTGTAATCACCAAAATGATGTAACTTAAATCTTTCTCTGCTGGATAAGCCAATCAAATTTTTTTTTAAAAGAAAGAAAAATGGCTAAAAAGATGTGAATCAAGTATCAATGGAGAAGAAAAAAAGACAAGCCACAAAGCGATGAACCAACCCTTGAGTAGTTACAATGGATTGAATAATGTTCTCCCCAAATTCATGTCCCCCCAAAACCTGTGAATATGACCTTATTTGGAAATAGGGTCTTTGCAGATATAATCAAGTGAAAATGAAGTCAAACTGGATTAGAGTGGTGCCCATGTCCAATATGACTGGTATTCTTACAAAAAGAAGGAAATCTGGACACAGGCACAGAGAGAAGATGGTCATGTTAAGATGGAGACAGAGATTGGAGTTGATGCTCACACAAGCCAAGGAAAGCCAGGGATTGCCAGCACCCACCGTAAGCTAGGAGGAGGCGAGGAACGATCCTCCCCTAGAGCCCTCAGGGAGAGTACAGCCCTGCTGACACTTTGATTTTGGACTTCTAGCCTCCAAAACTATGAGAGAATAAATTTCTGTTTTATGCCAACCAGTTTGTGGTAATTTGTTATGGCAGCTCAAGGAAACTAATACAGACACTAAGGGTATATTACTAAAGCTTGTATATTAGTTACATTGTTCTTTCTTTACATGACAGTTTATTCTATTCACATACCAAAAAATTAGACTTTTGCAAAGGAAAATAATATGATTTACCCGCGCCCAGAAAAACATGGGCTTGGAGTTTTCTTCCACTTCTACAAATTAATAGGTACCAAACCCTCTCCCACTTCCTCTCCATTCCTCTTGTGATCATCATCATGCATTTACAAACTGGAATATCAGACTATGAGTACAGTTTTCAATTATGGAGTAGAATATTCCTCTGTGCTATGAGGACTACATGGAGATAAAATCTGCAACCCAGCCTCATTAAGACTATTATGTCCTCGATGACAAAATATACTAACTGATCCAAGCCTCAATGAGACCATTAGAATGATTACACAGATAATGTGGATAAATTACAGCATTTCTTTTAGGTATTGGTTTCTTTTCACTGTAATATGTATTCAGGAATTATAAAGCATTTAGGATGAAATAAGTCTTGCTTCTCTAAGTTGTAGTAATGTCTTTTGAGGGGCTTAGAGGGTTTTTTTCCTCTGCCTCATGCTACTGATTGAGAATTCCTTCTCTAAATTAATTTAATTTGCATCAAGGGAAATATAAATGGTAATGGCACTAACCTTCAGCCTTTAAATGCACTCAGAAATAATGATGATCAGAACTATCCTGCTGTGAGTTGTATGTTGGCAAAGTGGATTTATCATGCAATGGGGTCTAATGGGACCCAAGTATCCTGACTTAAGTGGAGGTTTTGGATGAAAGCCCAATTCTCAGCATTCTTATCTCGGTCCCAATGTCCAGGACCTGAATACAAATTATAATCATAACGATAACAGTACCAAGAGCGACAGCTAACATTCATTGAACATTTACTATGTTGTAGACACCATGCTAAAAATTTTACCTCATTTAACCATCACAAAAATTCTATGATAATAGGTGCCATTGTTATCCCCATTCTATAAGTGAGGGAACAGATTTAGAGATGAAAAACAATTGTACCTGTTGAGATCCACCCCAGCAGGGAAGAGATGCCACCCCAAAAGGGGTAAATAAAGAGAGTTAAATGAAGTGACTATTTACAAAGTTGTGGGTAAAATTAGGGGAAACCAGCAAGCAATGGTGAGAGGATAACCCCATCAGGAAGTTCTTACTATCGCAGGCTGGAACACTGTAAGACCAGCCAAAAGCTTTTTTTTTTTTTTTTTTTTTGGGTCCGCGGGCCTCTCACTGTCGTGGCCTCCCCTGCCGCAGAGCACAGGCTCCAGACACGCAGGCTCAGCGGCCATGGCTCACGGGCCCAGGCGCTCCGCGGCATGTGGGATCTTCCCAGACTGGGGCGCGAACCCGCGTCCCCTGCATTCAGAGGCGGACTCTCAACCACTGCGCCACCAGGGAAGCCCTGCAACAGACTTTTAAGTTTCTTAGATGACAAAGATCATAACTTTCTTGTGTAGTAAGACTTCAGTTAAGTCACAAAATATTAACTCTAGGGCAGAAATCATAGTCCTTTAGAGTTACTTTCCTGTGAGAGGTTCTTACAACTGGGGAGTAGCAGCTTTATTTTTTTTTCCCCCAGGCTAGGTAAGATGGCTTCATTTACAGCTCCAACCTCCTAAGCACAGAGATTATGTCATTTCTGGTAAGTGTTTTTAGGTAGAGTCTTTGTGTAATGATATTTTGCTGTGTTGATTTGTTTGGAAAAGTTGGACCGGGTATCTTGAGTTGGAATGCCCTTCTGTAATTGATGACTTCTCTGTATGTTGTTCCCCACACACTGTTGAAATGTGAGTATGAAGAGAGATCTCTTGGTATGAGGACAATGAGTTGTGCTTTTCCTTTTGAGGCACTTGAAATGATAACTTGTTATTTTTATTCCAAGGTATATCTCTGAAATAATTCTTGGTTAGATGTTATGAACGGTTTTCCGGGGCACCAACCCGCGTCCCCTGCATCGGCAGGCGGATTCTCAACCACTGCACCAGCAGGGAAGCCCAGCCAACGGCTTTTGATAGAAGGACACAGCCACTGCCAAACTGTGACCTGGCAGGCAGGTGGCCAGGAGAATAAATATCCTGACCTCTGTCTCCCCTGTCTCTGATCTCCTGAACCATATCACATTGGCTGACCCAACTAGAAACCACAGGACAGGGGAACTTGGTGATGCAGTCTCTAAAGGCCAGCCTCCCAAATACAGAGCAAGGAGGAGAAGAGTGGAGAGCAGATCTGGAGAGGCAAATGAAGTATAGGCAGCACGGTAACACACCCAGGACATACAACTACTCGATGTTGAGTAAAGGCAAAATGTTAATATGGGTAGAGCTACTGCACTTAACTACTATACTGTCTACAGAGAAGGAAGAAAATTGTGATACAGAAACCAGTGGAGGATGAGAAAGGATTTTTCTCCCCTTTACCCTTCTTGAAATCCACCTATAGCCCCCCTTCTCCAGCTGAACTCTTAGTCTTTGCAGAGAGCTCCTCTGATGCAGACAGAGAGGGTTTCTGCAGAAACGAGGGTACACACAGCCTTCTTCCACTGAAATGTAAGCTCTATTAACACAGAGATTTTAATCAGCTTGTTCACTGCTATATCCTTATAAATTCAATCACTGGGTTCCAAGAACTCTTGGAACAAGAAATGCTGAGCTGCTCATTTCAAAAAGAAACCTGCTAGCAACAGAATGTGATCAATGAAACATCCTGACCGCCCTACTTATCTTTCTTGTATCCACTTCCCTGTTTCTTTCACTTGTGTAGTTGTGAAATGGTGCTAGTCTTTGATTAACTGTTTAATATTTTTTACAGTGGAAATCTAATGAGTGCAACATGTCCTGTTTGGTGCTAAGAGCTTTAT